TCACGGTTGTGTCTATCAACAAACTAGAGGGACGCAACTATACGCTCTTTTGCTTTCGTGCCTTAGATCCGTGCAGTTCTCTACACCGCCGCCCAATACGGCAGATAGTTCATGCACTTTGTACATGGCGTTGCTTCCGTCGGAATCTCCTCATATGAGGCAGCTGGCTTCACGAGCTGCCCGGCCGCCACATAGCACCATCCACACGCCGTCTGCCACCTACTTGGGATCAGGTGGTTGTTGGACATCGAGGTGGCATGGAACTTCAACGTAGCTAAGTTGGTCACAACCGGTGGTTTCAGGTAGGCTCGCAACAGGGATTTCACCGAATCCGCGTCGAAGTGCGCGACCTGCTTCTGGTTCTTGTGTTCTTCAGCGATCTTGTTTGTGAGCTCTTCCAAGTTGCCAACCTTCGTGCACGACCAACCGCGAGATCTGGGCTTGCAGTCCCTGGTGTTCTGCGATCTTGTTGTGCACCACGGGCGACGACTCTCTGGCGTCTTCGATGTAGGCCTTGACTGCTGAGCTCGAATGCCTCGTGAGAAACATGATCAGCTCCTCTGGCACTCCGGCCTTCACCCAATGCTTCACCCCGGACCTCCTGAGACTGTGCCCCGAGACCAGGTCCATATCCTTAAGGTAGATGGCGTCCTCCTTGAGCGCGGCCAGCATAGACTCCTTCGGCACCAGCTTCGACGGGTCACCCTCCTGACTGATGAGCGGCCAGTCGGCTGCAGCCTCTGTTCCATGCTCGATGCCCGACATCACCTCCTGGTGGCTCACCAACACGCCCGCCACACAAAACGGGCAAACTACCGGCTCCTTGGCATTGCACCTGCAACCAAGGGTGCGCTTGCAGCCACGGGCATATTGGTCCGTCTTGGAAACCGTGAGGCTGATGGTCACCAAGGAGTTCCACTCATCCAGCTCGACTTCATTGAGCATGATGCAGCCCAGTTCTACCTCTCTGAGGCAGAAGCACGACCCGAGGATCCACACATACTTGCGTAGTGCGGGCCAAGAGGCACATTGCGTCTCCGGGTTCTCTGGGAGATGGGACCACAAACACGGTTCGATTTCCAAGGCACGACAGGGCGGCCCAGACCTCTAGTCAGATCTCGGCGGCAATCACGAAGAGCAATGTTGAGGGCGTCAGTCCAAGGCGTGTCCAGCGCGCATGTGGCAGTCCTTAGCCTTGAACCCGGGAGCTCACGATGCCGAGCTTCTCAGCATCTACCGGCAGTGAGGGCAGATTCCTGGCCGCCAGGATGTCGCACCACAGCTTGAACAGGGCACTCTTCGTGCGGGGCGTGCCCGGAGTCCAAAGCAGTCTGGGTCGCCTTGTCCCATCTGCCGCGCTTCCCCTCCTCCATTTGCTGGCTGCCTCCGTGTTAGGTGTCATCGGGGCACCAGGTCGCCTCCTCTGTGGTTGGTTTGCGCTGACCAAAGCCAGCGGATCAGCCGACCCCGAAGCCCTCTCCTCTCTCGGGACCAGTGCCTCCTCCGGTGTGGTTGGGCTGGCCTGCCCACCAACCCGCTGCCTCAACGCAGCCTCCAACAGCCGCTCACCACTTTCTCCTTCTAAGGTCACTGCTCGCAAGCCTCCAGGCGCGTTCGCCACCAGGGCGATGCAATTGGAGGGGATGTTCACTGCAAAAGGCGGGAACCAGGTTCCCCTCCCGCGGTCAGAACCACGGGATAGCATCGAACCCATGGTTGGTCGGGCTCGATCTTCTATCAACCCTGAGCCAAAGGTCAGTCGAACAAGAGCGCAATCACTTGAATGCAAAGTCACTCGCAAGACCGACAGCTCGAACATTCCAAGCGAAACCCTCGACTATCACACGTGCAAAAACATGAAGATGAAACAAATTCCAAAAACTTAAATCCATTTGATTCATCAACAAACCTTGATTCGACCCGCGACGATTTCACCGTCTATGCAACGCCTTAACACCTCTACGCTATGCTTGCCTCTAAGGGGGCCTACTTGAGACTCCGTCTCGCAAGCAAATTCAAGCTCGTTTTCGTTTGCCGGAGGTCCTGACGTGGCGAGTGAAAGCCGGGACTCTCTTGACCTGTGCAAGGTGCGGTGGCACTTCTCCACGGCTAAGAGCGTCGGCCGTGTCATTCAGCACTCCCGCGATATGTTCGCCGGTGGGTGGTGTCCACCCGTGGCACAACAACTCAAGGAGAAATTCGGCTGTCAAATGTGTCAACAAGGGGGACTTGGCCTTGAAGGTGAGACATGCATGAAGTGAAGCGGCATTGTCTGTACGGAGGAAAATTGAAAATGGTTGTGGGAGACGTGGAAGAAACAGCTTCAAACTCAAGAAAATGGTGAACATCTCAAATTCCGTCTGGAAGTCAGGGTCCTGCCAGGTTGGTCAAGAGGGCCAGGAGGAAGCGTGCTGCATGTTCCAGCTGCTTTCGAAACACCAGCCCCTTTCTCTCACGAGTTTTCTGCCGTTTGGGCCCCTCTTGTTGCAGCGCTTGGGTCAAGACTGCCCACAACATGGCCAACCACGGGCGCACTTCCGGGATGATGCTAGAAAGCCAGCCTAGGATACCTGTGGTTCGTTGGAGGACCTTCACTGGGATCATGGGTTGATCTAACAGCCCATTGAAGCGCCTCCTTGAGTTTCTCGACCTTGTCTTCGGCAAGCTCGACCTCAAACGTGCGAGGGAGCCCCCGAGGGACGGCGAGCTTAACGCCGATCCAATCGAGTTCGAATCCTCTCAGGACCTTGCCCCAGGATAGCTTGAACCCCAGGGCTGCCCACAAGAGAACGCTGCGCAGCATGATGCGCTTGCGATCCATCGAAGTTTGACCGCAACTAGATAGCCTCTTTCATCTGGGTGGGCTTGCGTGGTGTAAAAGGCATCCTTAAAATCAATACACAGGAGTTCCAACAGGTGCGAGCCCGAGTAGGCTAGAGCTTGAACACTCTTCGCAACATCACTCACCCGTGGCAACACGACCCGTTCTTTAACAGTCATTAGACCATTGACGGAACTTCGCCTCATGTCTACAGTGTGACCTTCTCTTTGCCATGTGCTTGCTTGATGATGCATGCGATCTGTGTCAGCCGCGCCTCTGGACCGAATTGTTGGACCACCTGGGCCCAGGTTGGTACGATTTCCGCCCAACCCTCCGCGAGCATGCGATCGAGTTCGTGTTGGGCCTCCTCCCCTGCTTTGTAGAAGGACTCGTAGTTGAGTGCAGTCCCGTCCCAGTCCTTCACCACTCTCCCACACAAGGCTGACATTCGAACGGCGTCAGACACGTCCTCCGTTTGGGGGAAGATGCCGGTGTGGGGAATGGGGTGTATGATACCCAAAGGGAAACCTTCGTTCAACCACCTCGGGATGACCTTGGCATCGAGATCGTGTGACTGCTCCAACACGGACTCTAAGATGCCCTTTTCGTAGCCTCTGTGCGTGGCTGTGGTGCTGAACTCAAAGGCCAAAGCTTCTCGAACCTGTGACATGGCCTCTGCGGAAAAAGGTGACTCTGTGGGTCGCTGTTGAAAATCTTGTAGCGCCCTCGAAGTCAGAGCCGTATCTAGCACTTTCCTCAGCCGCATGCCGATGGTGCGAAGGTGTGAATTCCGTGAAACAGCCGCTCTGGGGTTGCGCAGGCCGCCACTGGATCTTTCGTTCTCGGCTTCACGCCGCTCCTTGAAGGTGAGGAGCTTCGTCTTCTTTGGGCCATCTTCCACTGATGGCTGGGCGCCAGCTGGACCTGCCGAGGACGGCCTCTTCAGGTCGGCTCTGATGAGCACGTGTTGGTGCGCTCCCACCTCCTCGTAGGTCTTCTTCTGCAGGATGAGTGGCTTCGCCTGCAGGTAGTTCTTTAAGGCCATGGCCCATGCCCTGCACAACCCTGACGGGTATTCCGCGGCCTTGTTTTCCAGACCATGCTTTCCGTGACTGGGTCCCACACCTTTCCCTCGAGCTTGCTGTGACAGTGCGGTCGGACCTGGCTGCAGGTGAGCTGAACTGTCTTCATCCACTCCGCATTGGTGAGGATCCTCGTTGGTTTTCGTGACATTCCCCCGTAGGCACATTGCTCGAGGTACACCGGGACAAGGTGAAGCCGTTTTGCCAGCCTCTTCATCTTCGCTGTTTCCCATAGGAAGGAGTCCCAAAGGATTCTTGATGGAGATGGTGCAGCCTGAGCGGGCTGCCTCCATGAGCACAATCTCGATTGCCTCGAGATGCCGATTCCCTTCTTCTGCGACCGGGTGCCCCCAGCCCTCTGGGCGCTCGTCTGAGCGCACTGTGGCCACAGCTCCGTGCGCATCCACCCTCCTGGCTCTTGTGTAACTTCGGCATGGGAGAGCCACGTGAAGGTGATCTGCCTCTCTTGCCGCCTTTCTGGCCTCCTCGAGAACTTCGGGTGTGAGCACGTCCCACCCATCGTAGAGCTCCAAGGGCTTCAACACTTCCACACTCTCGCCGACCACCTCGGCCGTGGCCATCGAAAGTCCCTTGAAGCCCGCATAGAGTTCGAGGAACTTGAACTTCGGCTTGCCCTCGACTGACTGCCGTTTGCCTGGGCAGGGTGCCTGCTTGGCCGGAGACGAGGCTTGAGCCTCTCGGCATGGAGGTGGCTCCAGTTGCTCTGCCGGTTTCGCAGGCCCGACGTGTTGACGTGTCAGTTTCAACTCTTCTTTGGGTCACTTCTGTGACTTCTTCTTGCCGGCGCCCTTTGGGTTCTTCTTGATGTGCACCGGACACTGGTCGCTCACATGCGACCCCAAACAATGCTGGCATCGATGCACCCTGCCCTGACTGCATGGTTCTCCGCAGTCCCCTGCCTTGCCCTTCGCGAACTTGAAGCAGATCTCGTTGCCGTCGTAGTGTGTGCCCCACTTCTTTGGGTGCTCGCCCTTCGAGTGGGACTCTGCCTTGTCCGTTCCAGTGTCTGGCCGTGCCTCCTTGCTCGGCGGACTGTCCTTGGTCTTGGTCTCCCTTCGACGGCGTTTGGGATCTCGATGCAAAGCCCCCACACTGCCTGCCACGCCAGCCAGCGCAGCACGAGCATCCTCGGAGTCGGAGACGTTGACATCTTCGGCACTGCGATTTGACATGCTCTTGCCCCCCTGGCCAGGAAGGTGTGCGCCGGCCTGACCACATGGCGCCCCCAGTATTCGGTGTCTCGGGAGGCGTAGGCGAAGACCCCTACCCATGGTTGGGTAGGGTCGAAATCGAGCCCCATCGGAAGTTTCCCCTCAGCGGCCGCCTTGGAGAGCTGGCGACGGTACCTCTCAAAGACCTCTCCACGGCATCGGTCCTCGGCCTGCATGATGAGGTGCCAGGCCTCTGGGAACTCTTCGTTGAGTTTCGCGATGTGGTCGAAGTATTCTTCCATGACCGCAGCTGTGACCACCATCTTTTCCGGCTGACCCCCCGAGCTCGGGTGGCGAATATGTAGAGAGCCGACTTGAACACCCTCCAGCATGCTGTCCATGCCTGGAACGATGATGGTCCAGGGATTTCTGTGGCCTTGAAGCTTCAGTCGGGCTGGAAGACATAGGAGCGAGTCCTCATCTGTCGTTGCACTCGTCTTCCGTACGGGGTGAAGATGCTGAAGTCTGCGTACGGAGCTTCGCCCCTCTTCACTATCTTGTCTCTCAAAGCGGCCAGCTGCTCGGCCGTGGGCTCGGCTTCGTGTGTGGGTTCTGCACCCGTGACTTCGATGTGGCATGCGTATTCACGATCCAGCTCTGTCCTGGTTAAAGGCTCCACCTCTGTCTCGTCGAGCTGGTCGATGATCGGAGCGCTCTTGACTCTTTTGCCTGCTTTGACTGGCGTCGCAGGTCCTGGCTCTGTTGGAGGTGTGACCGTGTCGGTCAAGGGGTCCATGTCTGCGAGTCCTACAGCTTTGCGGCACGCTCTCCAGAAAAAACCCAACATGAGCATCTCTGCGGCAGTCAGCGAACGTGGATCTGGTGAGCCCGCCGCAGGGATTCGCGTGGCGCCCATTGCATGCTTCAGCACGCTTGCCGGCAATCCAGCCATGTGTCTGACTTGCTGGATCTCGCCTAGAGTGTGGTTCACACAGTCCCAGACTTCGGCCTTCAGAGCACTCCATTGACGAAAGTCGTCCAACGTAGTCCATGCTGCCATCTCCGTCTCGGTGGGCAGCAGGTTCATGCTGGTGCACTACCCTGTCAGTGCTGCAAAGGCCGTGGGGGCCAGGACAGGCCCCAGGCCTGGACTTCCAGGTGCCGGTCGCTGGACCGCCGGCGATGGTGGCAAAGTGAACAACCAGGTGACAAAGGAACCGACCAAAGCACCCAGCAGGAAAAATGCCACCAACAGGCATTCTAGATACATGCATGTTCTTCTCTGGCTTCTTGAAGCCAAAATGGCACAACAAGAAAGCAATCGAACGAGAACGAACGAACCACCATGCAGACTCTATGTGCTATTCTTTTTCTTACGCAAATTCTTTGCTTCATAAACACAGCAAGGACAAAAACATTCCATTTTCCATGCACAGGCCAAAGCAAGTCTCGCTGCCGCGGCATGCGTGCAATCAATTCCTAAGTTGAAACATGCAAAACGTCGCAGGATTGAAGTCCGCGCCCTGACCTGCCTCGACATTGAAGCCGGCCAACAGGTCCTGTACAAAGTCATGGAACTCCTTAGGGTGCTCTTCCAACCCTGTCCGTGGAAGTGCGGCAGCAAAGACCCTACCTAAAG